GGGGGGGGGGGGGGGGGGGGGGGGGGGTACACCACCAACACTGTTTATAGTGGGGGTGGTGTGCTGCTGACCTCAACTCGGGATGTCGTGGGTCAGTGGGCAGAATACTTTGAAGACCTCCTCAATCCCACTGGCACGTCTTCCACTGAGGAAGCAGAGTCTGGGGACTTATGGTTGAGCCCTCCAATCTCTGGTGCTGAGGTCACCAAGGTGGTTAAAAAACTCCTCAGTGGCAAGGCCCCAGGGATGGATGAGATTCGCCTGAAGTTCCTTAGGGCTCTGGATGTTGTAGGGTTGTGTTGGCTTACGCAACTCTGCAATATTGCATGGACATTGGGGGAAGTTCCCCTGGATTGGCAGATCAGGGTGGAGGTCCCCCAATTCAAATAGGGGGACTGTAGAGTGTGTTACAACTACAGGGGGATCACGCTCTTAAGCCTCCCTGGTAAGGTCTTATTTGGGGGCTCTGGAGAGGAGGGTCCGTCGGATAGTCGAACCTCGGATTCAGGAGGACCAGTGCAGTTTTCATCCTGGTTGTGGAACACGGTACCAGCTCTACACTCTCAGCAGGGTCCTGGAGGGTGCATGGGAGTTTGCCCAACCGGTCTACATGTGTTTTATGGACTTGGCAAAGTCGTTCGACCGCATCCCTTGGGGAAACCTGTAGGGGGTACTCTGGGAGTATGGGGTACCGAGCCCTTTGATACGGGCTGTTAGGTCCCTGTATGACCGGTGTCAGAGCCTGGTCCACCTTGCCAGCAGTAAGTCGGGCTTGTTACCAGTGAGAGATGGACTCTGCCAAGGTTGCCGTTTGTCACCGATTCTGTTCATAACTTTTATGGACAGAATTTCTAGGCGCAGCCAAGGTGTTCAGGGGAATCCGTTTTGGTGGCCTTAGGATTGCGTCTCTACTTTTTGCAGATGATGTGGTCCTATTAGCTTCATCAGATCGTGATCTACAGCTTTCGCTGGAGCGTTTCGCGCCGAGTGCGACACGGCCGGGATGAAGATCAGTTCCTCCAAATCTGAGGCCATGGTCTTGAGCCGGAAAAGGGTAGAGTGCCATCTGCGGGTCAGGGAGGAGGTCCTGCCGTAAGTGGAGGAGTTCAAGTAACTTGGGGTCTTGTTCACGAATGAGGGAAAAATGGAACGTGAGATCGATAGGGGGATAGGTGCAGCGTCTGCAGTGAAGCGGGCGCTGTACAGGTCTGTTGTGGTGAAGAGAGAGCTGAGTCAAAAGGCAAAGCTCTCAATTTACCGATAGATGTACATTCCTACCCTCATCTATGGTCATGAGCTTTGGGTTGTGACCGAAAGAACAAGATCTCGAATACAAGCAGCCAAAATGAGTTTTCTCCGCAGGGTGTCTGGGCTCTCCCTTAGAGATAGGGTGAGAAGCTCAATCATCCAGGAGGGACTCGGAGTAGAACCGCTGCTTCTCCACGTTGAGAGGAGCCAGATGAGGTGGCTCGGGCATCTGTTTAGGATGCCTCCTGGACACCTCCCTGGTGAGGTGTTCCGGACACATCCCACCAGGAGGAGACCCAGAGTAAGACCCAGGACATGCTGGAGGGACTATGTTTCCCGGCTGGCCTGGGAACGCCTCGGGATTCCCCCAGAGGAGTAGGACCAAGTGGCTGGGGAGAGGGAAGTCTGGGCCTCCCTGCTTAGGCTGCTACCCTCGCGACCCGACCCCGGATAAGCGGAAGAAAATAGATGGATGGATTAATAATGAAATCAAGGACAAATTAGTCACTAAAGACTATCCTCAGTCTGTCAAGCTGTTGGAGAACCTGACCACTCGCGTTGACCTCCAACTCATGGAGAGGAGGCATGACAAGGGAAGCAGAGTGGAGAAAACTGCCAGCTCCTAGGATGAGTCTTATCACACCACATCCAAATCTTCACCTACCTCTGTGTCTATTCCCCAACAGACTGAGGATCTGATGCAGTTTGGCATCCTATTGTTGCTAAAGTGTACATAGGAATAACTAAACATCTGGCACAGAGCAAGTGAGGACAGGGGAAGCAGGAAATAAATCCCAAAGCATGCTAAGCTAAAGTAAGCAAGTCCCAATCTCGCTGAAAAACCTCAAGTGCTGAAAGGCAAATCAGCAAGTTGGAGTAGTATAAAATGTGTTTTCAAAGTTCTTGTGAAAAAATACATAAAAACTTAAAAACAAACAAAGATTCAGCAGAACTAAATAACAAGCTACTAGAACAAATACTAGAAATGATGCAACGTAACAGACTTCCAACATCAGCACATGAGCTAAGAGGAAAATCTCAAGGTGTTCTTCTAATCCCTCTGAGAAAGGATGTGCATAGAAACATAAAAATAAGGGAGGAATTTTGGCTTAGAAAAAAAACTGAGTTTATTAAGCAATTGGGCAGAGATGTTTGGTGAGTAAGCAGAGAGCTTAATAGTTGATGCAGTGATGGAGGAAGATGAACTCTGCTTCCCACAACTTCTCAACACTTCT